TCATCGTAGATCTCCTGACTGTGGCTCCGGGCCTCGTCCTCGGCGTAGTCTCGACCTCGCCGAAGGAGAGGCTCAGGGCGTCTGCGAAGAGGTCCGGAGGAGCCTTGCAGCTTGGGTCCATACTCCCGGATCGCCTCCGACAAGGTGCGGCGAACGTCGTCGAGGGCGTCGTCATGGCGCACCAGCCAAGCCGCCATCGCTTCTCCCTTCCTCCTCTTCAGTCCGAAGAAGAAGCGCGATATGTAGCGGCCTGCGTCCGGAAGTGTTGGAGCCTTCATCGTCTTCTTCAAGTGGTCCAACAATTGCTGCACGCCTTTGGGGTGACTGAACCACGAAGACGGCATCTGCTGGGCCGCTGTCCTGGCTGCCCCTTCCAGGGCGGCAATCAGTCGCGGCGCTGCTGTGTCTCTCTTGCGCCACTCGATTGTCTCGGTGTACAAGAGAGCCTCCCTGCGGTACTTCTCGAAGGTTTCCGCCGTGCCGTCGAAGATCGGCACACCATCTTTAAAGCGAATTTCATGGGCCATCCCTGGATCAAAAGCTCGCACGAGCCTACCTTCTACCTAATGCAGAAGGCAAGCTCCGCTACCGTGCAAGCGGAGAAAGACTCTTTTCCATCAGAACCCCAAAGGCTTGCGAGTACATCCATTGCACTCTAAGACAGGAGCTTCAGCTTTGCATGCCCCTGTTTTCGTTGAGATCGAAATTGTGACTTATTGAAGCGGGGGTATTTGCAATGACCTTCTCTTCTTACCAGACATGAGCTCTTCATCATAGGTGATTCTCCATCGTCCTTGGAGGGATTGGTAGAGGAGAATCTGGTGGTACTCATTGTCTTTGGTGAGGCTGTTGGCCAACTGAGCGTCTCCGTGAACCCATCTTACTTGCAGACTGGAATGGTCCATGGCCTCTTTAAGGCAGAGTGATTCGATATCACTCCTCTTTTCCTCACCCTTTAGGGTCAGGGCGGTCTGCTGTAGGCGGTCGTAGAGACACTTGCTGTCTGAGATGAGGGAGCTGGAGATCTCCCGGATGGTGGCGTCCACGTTCCTCACATTCACTACCTTGCCCTGGAACTCTGCTGCTTGTAGTCGAATGGCGTAGAGCTCGTCCTCGCCATCCACTGCTGCTCTCGTCTCGGCTGAGGCGGGAGAGCGGCACACCCGATGGATCTTGCTAGAGATCCAGCTAATCGGAGTAACTTGTGACAGCTGTCCCTCGAGTAGTTTGCTGTCGGTCCAACCCACAAAGATCCCTTTCGTAGAAGAGAGGTCGGGGCGGTTGGCGTGTGAGGCGTCGACCCAGCATGCTAGATGCAGGGGTCCTTCCATCTTGTGGATCCGAACCCGATGTTGTCGCATGGACTTGGCCTTCTTGAGGAGCTTGTTGGTCTCCACGAGGTCCTGGACTGTAGCGCGATTGACCTTCGAAAGCATCACTCCCACGGGACCGCTCAGGTGGTATCCCGTTTGGTACGTGTACCAGGATAGGCATCCTAGTACACTCCGCATCTGATGCTTCTCGTTCTCGTTGATGAGGAGGCTGGGCTCCTGGTAGCGCGCCTGGGGAATGTTGATCTCATTCACCTCGTCCAAGAAGTGGCCCTGGTACAAGGTAAAACCATCTTTTTCCTGCTGTATCTGAACGCCACATTGAACAAACGTCCCCTCTTCCCAGTCTGTCCATTTGAATCTCTCTCGGAGTTTCGCCATTGCCTCTCGCCAACGACTATCTGTATCATCTCCTCCAAAAAGGAAGTCGTCGACATGCCCGCATATCCATCCCAGTGGTTTGCGGGTGGTCGGGTCGAACAGACCCCAGCAACATGGATCGCTGTACTGACGCTCGAATCCCAATTCCGCCAAGACGTCACAGATCGTGAGGAACCACTCCAAAGGTGCTTCCACCAAACCATAAGCTGCCTTGTTGAGCTTCATGATTGATCCCTCGGGTGCTCCGAGGGCCTCGCATAGCTCCTTGACGGGGATGCAAAACATGTCCCGTTGAAAGGCTCGGCCTTGTAGGAATGCCCCACTGACGTCTCCCTTTCGCACTCGGTAGCCTGCATTGGCACAGCACTGCAGGAAGAGCTGGCGGGTGGTCCGGGACATGGTAGGACTTGCTGTAGGCCGGGACTCGTATTGAGGATCCTGGTAGCCTAATATCACACATCTGGCCTTGGCCTTTTTCCCGATGGTGTCGTCCAGCTTCCAGGTAAGAATCCACCTCATGGACATAGCTTGGCGCGGGTCCGGCTTGAGGTGGTCCGGGAGGATGGAGAGCACTTTGGAGGACACATAGTTGTTTACCTCCTTCGCTTTGGCGCTCTTGAAGAGCTCTTTCTCTTCGTCTGTCATCCGCCGTTCGGTCAGCTCGTGGGCATTCTTGCGCAGCTGCTTAGCGATGAAGGCGCTCATGTCTCTCATCATCTCCTTCCGCTGCTTGGACTCCCAAGACGGGAGCTCCACTTCCAGCTGAACTAAGGCATCCTCTGAGTCCCAGTAGGCCGAGGGCGATAGAGCATGTTCAGGTCGTCGTTCCAGCACCCTGGCCTCCTGCCGGGGGTGCTTTGGTGGAGGTTCCCGAGCTTCTGGTCCGGGATCTCCGCTGCTTCCGTGTGGGCTGCGGCTCCGTCCTCGTTCCGGCTCTTGTGGGCCTGAGGTCCGTCCAGGCCTTGGCGCAGCATCGGCTGCGGCTCCTGGGGTCTTCCGTCGGAGTCGCCATCGGGGTGCTCCTTCACGCTCTTGTTCGTCCTCGGCGGCGTCGGGCTCGTCGGGCATCTCGTTGGCCTCGGCCGTCGCATCGTCGAACACTCGGTGCTTGGAGTCCGCGAGGATCTGGTGAATCGTCCATGGGATGTTCTTCCGGGGATCTACGAGTTCATTCCAGGCCTCTTCCCTGGGGGTAGCGGCTCTAAGCTGCTGAGGTGCGGCGCGAGTCAGGCGATTCCCTCGATACAGCCAAACACATTGACTGGGCTGAAGGTCGCTCTCATTAGCCCGAGTTTCCGTGGCTAAGACCCTGAAGGGACCCACAAACCTACCTGAGGTAAAGTTCTTATTGCCGTCCGCCCTTCCTACCACCTTGCGCCACGCATACACCAAATCTCCTGGGAGAAAGTGTTTCATCTTCCGATGTCCGGCCTGAGTGGCCCGACGAATCCTTTCTTTGGCCTGTTCATCTAGGAACGCGCTTTCGGCGACCCGCATGGCCTCCACATGGTGACCATGCTCTGCCGACACTCCGGCTTCTGTCAGAATAGGGAGGTCTAAGAGCTCATGGTCTCCTATGCTACGGGGGTCCTGCGGGGTCCTTCCAAACGCATGCTGTAACGGCGAGTAGCCTAGATACATGTCTCGATGATTCTGGGCCCAGAGGCTGCGGCTAAAAAGCTCTTGGGGGGGCATGTCAGGGAATTCCGCATGGAGTTTCCACATGATTTCCTTGGTGCTTTGAATCCCCCGCTCCACCGGGCTCATCTGCCAATGTGCCTCTGGAGGCACGTGGTCTATTCCGATGCTCCGTTTCTGTAGCTTTTCGTCGAACGCCTGGCTACGGAGAGGGCTTTCCGCATCGGTCCGAATCACAGAGGGCTGCCCAAACAAACTGAACCACTTGTCTTCAAGGAAACAGTCCACATCTTCCGTGGTGATCTTTGCTCGGCTGCCCTCACGGATCAACTTACCAACCCGAAGCCTACTACCCTCATCGACAGCTAAGATGAACAACCATGTCTGATTGGTCACTGGATTCCTCCAGTAGCCGCAGTCCAGCAGGAGAGTCTCCCACTTCTTGGAAATGGGCCGAAGTGAGGCTACGTGGCGAGGGCTGGGACTAGACCACTCCTTACACACATCGCAGGTGAACTGTCGGGCAACCTTTAGGACCTGCCTGGATGCACCTTGGCGCTTCAGAGTCTGGACAAGGTGCTTCACACTGCAATGCCCCGTAGAGCTGTGTATTTTCTTCAGCATGGTCATGATCCTAGCTCTCTCTTCCGGCCCCACCTCCACATCGTCATCTGGTCCCACCTCTTCTTCTTCTTCTGCTCTCTCTCCCGCTCGCTCTCCTTCTCCGTTGCCCGCCGCCACGTCGCCACCACCGTTTCCTCTTTCTTCATGGTCACCAACGCAAACCCATTCTCTCAGAAGATCCTGGTTACGCTGTTGCAGCCTACCATGAATGAATCGAACAGCACGCTTGACCAGCTCGGTCGGATACTCACGGCTCTCAGTCCTACCCTGCAGGCTGACTCCTTTGTGGTGACTTCCGCTACACTTGAGGTTCAGGTGCCTACTGAGTTCGGGCCATGTGGAATCAATCCTCCAAGCACGACACAGCAACCTATCTTCCTGATCACGCAAATTCACCTGACACCCGTAACACACACCGGTATGCATCTCAAGGTCATCCGCAAACTGCATGTATTCAGGAATCTGCCATGCTTTGCTTCTCTGAGGCCATTCCCAGACTACCTCACATCCTAGTTTTCGGGCGAAACGAGCAACTTCCATCTTGTGTTGGTAGGTCTTCAGGGCTTCCTGTTGGCGGTGCTCAAGTTGGGCCTGTTGTTGGGACGTACGGGCAGTAAGATTTTGCAGAGGGCTGAAGGGACTACTATCACCAGAGATCCAAAGAACATAGGGCTTCCTACGTTGCAGCACAGCACACGCCAGACGCACTCCCTCAGCACTAGACATGTCAAACCCATTCCAGTAGGACATGCGCATGGCGGTGTGATTGCCATACAACTGACAACAGACACTACTCATGGGACTGGTGGTGGAGGCTCCTAGCTCACACAGCATAGTCTCAGGCTTCCTAGGGAGCTCATCCATGAAGCTTTGGGAGGCTTTCACGCTGCTCGCAATTACTTCTTTTTGTGCATCCGTCAGCAAGGGAAGCTCAGCCTCTTCGGATCGTTCCGGCCGATACCCAGCCGCGATCCATGAGATCTCGTCCGGGAGTTCTTCTACTTCCGTGCCCTCGTCGTCTGCTTGCGGCGCAGCTCCATCAGCTCTGCCTCCAACTCTGCAATGCGGGCAGCCTCGGTGTCCATAAGCTCGTCCGATTCTGGGTCGCTGGCTGCCTCGTCGTTGTCCGGCAGGGGGCTCGCGGAGGCCTGTAGCCATGACGCATCGCTGTCGGGAGGCGTCCGGATGTGGTAGCCCTCCAGGTACTCGGAAGTCGCCATAGAGCTCCGGGATCCCGGTGCCGCTTTCCCCTTGGGGTGGATCATCACTGGCTCGGGGGGCGGAGGTCCATTCCTGCGCCAAGAGCTCTGGCTGCTGTTCTGCGGCATTGGTGGTGCCCGTCGCGTCGTGGAGCTCGAGGAGGTTGACGTCGGGGGGCTCTTGGGTGTCCCCTTGTTCTTGACATCCTTCTTGTTGGGGGTCGCCGGCAGGGACTTGGCCACCAACGGTGTTCCAGGATTGCGGCGAAGAGCATGAAGCGGTGTGTCCTGCTGAAGCTGAGCCCATTTGGCAAAGCGCTCGAGCCTCCATCCCACGGGGCCTTCCTCCATGGATTGGATGGCCCACGTCACGTACTGGCGGTCCTCCACGTAGACCTGCTGGAACGTCTTGGTGCTGTACCGGCCGAAGCCCATGAGGTCGTGGCTTGTTGGCGGTGCCCGTCGCGCCAGGACACCCTCGGCTCGCACCTTCAGCTGCTCCACCGTCTCGTTCCCGGTGATGTTCATCTCCAGGACCTCGCGGCAGAACTGCTGCAGGGTTCCCTTGGTCTTGCCCGCCTTCACCATCTGCTTCCGTAGCTGCCCCTCCTCGGACAGGGGCATCCCCATCTCGTTCAGCACCTCGCCCGGGCCTTCCTCGGCCTCGATCTCCTGGAGGCGAAGCAGGATCTGCTCGCGGTTCCACGACGGTGGGGCCTCCTCGCCGTAGTCCGCCAGCTTCTCCACCAGGTGGTCCTTCTTCAAGTACGGCATGGCCTGAAGTAGAGGGAGGTGCGTCGGGGGCGCTAGGTTCACTGCTTCCTGGCCAGCTTCGATCTGGCGGGACCATATCATGGCCGCGGAAAAGGTCGTTGCAAATCATCACACTGTCTCTAGAATCATACTCAATAATAGTTTTATCAGGTTTCGATCTCAACACAGACAAAAAGTCAACTACTCTACCGGCATCTGTTGGGCAGATCACTCTACCCTCCTGGAACTCTTTGCCCTTTCCATTCTGTTCCGGGAGGAGTTGTCCCTAGACATCGAGGAGTGATCGGAAGCCGGTGGCTCGCTCCTTGGCGTCCTTAAAGGCATCTTGCACTAATGGAAAAAGTTGATGTCCTGATTCAGCCCGCTCCAAGGAGAGGATCTTGCGGTCGTTGACCTTGGTGAAGATCACCTCGTCGCGGGCGTAGTCAATCACCGCGCCCAGGGCGCGCAAAGCCTTGATGCTGAACAGGACCGGTTGGCCGGGCACATCATGAACGGCGACCTGCATGTTGCCGTCGTGACCATCGAGGGGAATCGTCAGCTTCGTGTTGGAGGCGCATGCCACTCGACCATTGTTGCCGAAGCGGAAGCTCGGGGCCTCGCCGGGTAGAACCTCGACGTTGTCACGACCTTGCTTTGCCCAGCCAAGCTCGCGGACGCGCTCCACAGCTTGGATGGAGCCCACACTTGATGTGGCTCCGCCGTCAATGATGGCCTTCCCCTCGAGAAGGGCCCCGGACATCGTGGGACCTCCAGGTCCACTGGTGAGGGCCTCCTCAGCGATGAAGACCAGGTGCACTGTCCCGTTCTTGTTGCCATCTGAACTGCCTGGCTGCGAGCACTGGCGGGTCCAATGCTTTCCCCCGCAGCGCAGGCACTTGGGAGCAAGCCCTTTTCCTTCGCCTTTGGTGGAACTTGTAGGGCGTGTAGGGAAGAACTTCCGGTTCTGCCTCATCTGTTGCTGCTTCTCCCGGGCCTGGCGTAGCGTATTCTTTTGCCACTGTAGGGCCTGGTAGGCCTCCTGCACCTCGGCTTCCAAGGCCTGGTACTCGTGGGCCTCATCGTCCGCCAGGAGGGCCTGGTGGATGTCCTCGTCATCCTGTTCCATGCCCCAGAGTGCAGCCTCGCCCTCGTCGTCCTCGTTGGCCAGTAGCGCTGAGGAGCGTCCCGTGTCACGGCGCTTGAGCTCCTCATCCGGCCAATTGAGTCGTAGCACTTCCTTCACCTTCTCGGTAGTGAACTGATTCTTCAGATTCGCGATCAGTGCTCCTTTCTCGTTCTGGTCAAGACCAGAACGTTGGAGGAGCATCCATGCCACGACAAAGTCGGGGAGGAAGTGGTAGGCTGCCACGTCCGCCGAGTCCACGGATTCTGCCCACCGGCCTGACGTCGTAGGCCAGGACTGCTGGGACTCGCTCCAGCTGCCTTGCCACCATTGTCCCTCCCCGGTGGAGGACCAGGCTTGGTCGTCCCACCAGCCATTCTGGCTCCACGGCTCCTCGGTC